TGTGTGTGTGTGTGTGTGTGTGTGTGTGTGTGTGTGTGTGTGTGTGTGTGTGTGCGTGTGTGTGTGTGTGTGTGTGCGTGTGTGTGCGTCTCCTCCCCAACTCAGTGTAAGTATGTGTGTGTGTGCATGTCCTGCCCCTGTTCGGTGTTTGTGTGTGTGTGTGTGTGTGTGTGTGTGTGTATGCATGTCCATTCCCCAGTTCAGTGTATGTAGGTGTGAGTTTATGTGCGTCAGTGTGTGTATGTGTGAGTCCTTCCCTCAGTCTTTAGGTTTAGTTTTTGTGTTTTAGGTTTATCTGTCCTCCTTTGGTTCTGTTTCCCCCATTTAGATAAATAATTGTCACCTGTCTTCCCTCCAGCCCTCACCCCACACACCTGCTGCCATTTTCCCTAATTACTCCTCCCTGTGTATTTAAGCCCTGTCTTGTCTCTGTCTTGTGTCGGTTCGTTGTTTGTAATTCTGTCAGTCTCGTCTCTCTTGGATTATTAGGGTTTTTTGGTCTTCTCGAGTTCTCTAAGGTTTTTGGATTTTGGCTCCCAGCCTTGGATTTACTTTGTTTTTGGCTCACCTTTAAATACCCTGCCTCGTGTCATCCTGGGTACTGCATTTTGGGTCCTACCAACACCGTACCGTGACAGACTCCTGAAATCTGGTTTAGAGGTGAAACTCTAAAAGGCGAAAGAGAAACTCATTGCATGTAAAACCAAATATGTCAAGCCTTTATTTGTTATAACTGTGACGATTAAGGCTTGCAGCTTATGAAAACCCTTCATTCTAAATCTCAGATAATGAGATTTTTGTGAAAAGGTTAATTATTCTAAACTCAAAGTCACACTCTAATCAGCTAATGATTCCAGAACACCTGCAAATGGTTCCCGAGCCTTTAGATGGTCTCTCAGTCTAAGATGAATTACTGAAGTAAACATACTTTTGAATTTAGCACTTTTTTGTTTGAGTGGAAAACAACACAGAACAAAATAACAACAAGCTTTTAGGATGATTAAAACCACATCTGTGTCCAATAAAAGGTACTAATGAATGAAACTAATTGTAAGTGCATTTAGAAACATGGTACTGAAAGTTTAGGAATTGCAGGACTCCAATTTCCGTCTGGGATGAATAAAGCATCTTTGAATTGAATTGAATTGCAGAATGGGTGGGAGTCGGGACATAAGATGGATCAGTAAGTTGAAAAACATTTTTGTAAAGGTCTGAATGAATCTGATCAGAACTAACTTGGAAGCTGAGGCCTGTTTAAAATCTGGAGGTGGAATTGTCTACACATGATAGTTTTCTGCACCTTAACCTAAATCCTCCCGCTGTGTTTTGTGACTTGTTGAGGAGAATATTTGAGACTAAATCTTCCCCCAAACTAAACTGACTTTAATCAGGTTAAAACCAACAATCTCCATTTTCCTTAAACTCATGCATCTTTTTCATCCTGCCCAAGTCTGTTCTTATCTCCCATCTTTGGGATTACGTCACTTTACTTCCGCTCTTTTGTCCTATGAGATAATTCCACCCCTAAACATTTACAAAGTCATCAACAGTGTTAGACGGATGGAACGAAAATAACTCACAAAAGCAAACGTGCTAAAAGCTTACCAACCTAATCTGGTACCCCTCCTCACATCCCACTTCATATACTTATTTATTTATTTTCAAATGCTCATGCACAAAGTCACAGGGTGAGTTTTAGTTCAAATCCTCCTATTTGTCCTCTACTCCTTAGTAGACATTTGCTGAAATGCTCAGCTGGGAATAAAAGCACTAAATTTGAGCGTGTTGGTGTGTGTGTGTGTGTGTGTGTGTGTGTGTGTGTGTGTGTGTGTGTGTGTGTGTGTGTGTGTGTGTGTGTGTGTGTGTGTGTGTGTGTGTGTGTGTGTGTGTATGTAGGGGGAGAGTGTTTAAAAGCAGTGCCACATATGCAACTTGAAGGTTTTCACACAAATCCTTCAGACACAAACAAGAAGAGCTTGCTGCATTTTCATCATCTGTCCTCCTCCTACTGAATTCCAGCTTTGAGAAGCAGGCAGGTCTCGGTGTCAGGACAGCTGATTTATTTTTTTTACCGCCACAGAAGGCAGAAACCGAGTCTGGGGGGACAGACAGCAGCAAGGGGGTGTGAAATGTGTCCCACATAAACACACACACAGATGCACATTGATGGGAGGGAGCGCGGAGGCCAAAGAAGGACTGACGGATGTGAATGCTTCCGTTACCCACTCGTCCCCGCAGTGCTCCCTGAAATAGAGAGATAAAACAGCCAAGCAGACAGATCGGGAGGCAGCCGTGGCAAACAGATCCTTGCTACAGATTGACAAATGACTCAGAGTTTCTCTCCTTCAGAAGAGCCCGTTTCTTGTTTCTCTGCCACTCTGTCCTCTGCTCATCAACCATCAGTTGCTTCAAAGGTAACCAAGACAAACATCCAAGCGTGAAATATCAGAACTCTCACTGAAGATGATTAACATACTAAAATTTTCCTTAATTAAGGCAAAGTTTAATCTGCATTGAACAATTAATTTGGATATTAAAATCTCTACGAAGGATTATTGTAAATCTGATTGTTATTTTCCTTTTACAGCTCGCATTTAGGAGCTGTCTGGGTGATCAGCAGAACAAATGCAAGCAGGCTGTTAGGCTTGGCTATGTTTTTAAATATGTGACAGCAAACAAATAAAAAGACAAATTAAGTCACCAGCAAATGAAATGTCAGAGTGACTGAAGCGCTCCAACAAATCATGTTAAAAGATGAGTTTGGTAATTCCAGCGAAGGCACTTGCTTTGTAAACTGTGAGACTTGACTCTGTCCTATAAACTGATAGTAAATCCCAGACGCTGTATGCATTTTACACACTGAACTACATTTTTTTACTGTCATATTGACCGTTATTACGCTAATAAACAAGCTGGAGGCAAGAAGCCATCGTGATAGAATCAGGTTTTAAAAGAGAAGCTTCTTCTATTTCAACTGTTTTTTTATTCTGCAGGACAGCTCAGGTGATCAGAGCCTACAAAAACATCTTTTGATAGACTTTCCTCAAAGCAGCTCCACATGCTTGATTCTCTTGGTTTTATTCAATTTTCCAAAAAATAAAAAAAATACATTCCATTGAATTTTTGTATTTTTTTTTTGCAACCAACAAACATTTGACAACATCTAAAACCACAAATTTCATTGAAAAGGTTGTTTATTGTAAAGATACAGTAGCTTTTTTAGGCATTTTTAGAAATAAATTGAGCTAGAAGAGAAGAAATTACTAGATTAATGTCACATTTTCATTAAAACAGCTTAAAATCCTCCAGTGGTGCAAAGTCCACAATTTGTGTGAGGAAAAAAAGTTAATGTTCCATAATTGAAAGAAAAAATTTACAAGAATAAAATAACCATAACCCTGTTATTTCTTAAATTTGTGAGGAGAAAAACGTCAGAAGTACCAAGATAGAATGTTTCTAATTTACCTGAAAAGTCTTGGATGTTATCTGAAGTTGTTACATTTATTTATGGAGAAAAAAGCAAATACAGTAATAAAAAAAATGTCTGACAGTAAATCTCTTGATGTACAAAAAGGATGTCCATGTCAGGAATGGAGAATTACTTAATGGCAAAAATAACCTGACGATTCCTAGTGCTGTAGCTACATCTGGAACATCTGATGAGAGAAGATGTTTTCAAGCAGAAGCAGCAGCCTGGGCTTTCAGAAGCCCAGAACAACTAAACTCCAGACAAGCTGAACAGGAAACATGCGAGACAAGAGCAAAGGAGGACATTTAAACCCACTGTTTCCTCGACTGAAGGAAATGGAAGACCCTGACAAGTTCAACATTTACTTTTTTGGGTTTTTTTTTTTTAGTCTCGGAGTGCTAACAGGAAGAAAGCGACATGTGATGCAGCTATATTTGGACTCGAGTATCTCAGACAGGGATACAGTCAAGCAGGGGGTATTTCTGGGATTAAAAACAGCAGATGGTGTAATAGAAACCTCTCATCATTCTGAACACACTGTTAAAGGTGAACTAGGACGTTTTGGCTTGCTTTTAGCATTCCCTAGTGTCCGTTTGTAGACTGAAAGCAAAACTTATCTCCTCGCAAACAGGCATGCGCGGGATTTTCGAGATCGTGCGATACAGTCCGAGCAATAAACGCGGAAGTTAGATCCAAACACCCGTTGTGTGGGAGAAGCATCGGCATGAACTGTTTAATCTGCCCATCATTTGTGTTGAGAGATCAGCAGTGTTTGGATCAACAAAGGGTGACTACTTTGATAGTAGAAACTGTATTTATGGCTTATTTTTGTGCATTTAAACTTCTGCCGCCATTGATAGTTGTTAAAAGTTGTTAAACCTGTGCATATGAAACAAAAAACGCCTTTTGTTTATCGATTTATTGTGAAAACCGGAAGTTGTGCTTGCTCCTTTTCCTGTTGGGCGGTTGTGATTCCTGTCCATTTACTGCGGAGGTGCTCCGGCGTCCGGCGAAAATAGGATTGATTCTATTTTTGCCGGACGCCGGAACAGAGGGCGGCGCACGGCGCCGCACTGCCGGAGCACGGCCGCAGTAGTGGAATTGCTCTGATTGACTACAACGGGACCGATTTTGCTCCGGCGTTCGTGTCGGAGCGGAGCGGAGGTAGTGGAATTTGGGGGTTAGTGTCTACGGGTGTGATTCATCACTGAATTAAACAAATCTGCTGTGTTCATGATCTAAAAGATGCAGAAAATGTGCTGGAAGGGGACTGCAGCACCAGGTATGTCAGCTCAGTTTTTTTCTAAGACCCAACAGAGCGGCCTACCAGTCTGAAGTTGCAAGTGTAATATTCTGTCTTGGGAGGCAAAAGGGACTGGGTGCCTTTCATTAACCCTGTAAAGGGTCATTTTAGCACATACGGGCTCAAAAAATCATTCAAAAATATGAAAAAGTTGTAAAGTATCTCATTAACACCTGCAAAAGTCCAATCTAATAGTGATCTTAGAACTTAGATTGCATGAAAACTCACCAGAACCTGCAGCTTGGAGCAGGAGAAGGGCCAGCAAGGGCTTCTGTCCCCACAGCGGCCGTATGCCTTGCATCCTGCTGTACCTGGAGTTGGACATGAGAGAAAAGGGGAGGGTGAGTCCACGAAGGAAGCTGAAATCTACACCTTGCTCTAGTGGAGATTACCCTGCACATTCAGATGAGTCACTGGTAAAACTTGGTTCTTCATCCTGCTCTCCATTAGATTTGGGGTACAAGAAGTTTTTTTAATTTATTTTTGGTGAATTTAATTTGACTGTGTAGGTGGACGAAGGCCTCTGTATACCCATATGGCTCAAAGTTTTTAGGCCTGGTGATTTTCTACAGTCAAGGTAAACAGACTAGTACACCCAAAAGACAAAATACCAGCTGGGCTTAAATGTGGAGTCGTTTACGAAATCTCATGCAAACTCTGCAATAAAACATGTATAGGAGAAACCGGACGCCAACTCAACACACAAACAATAGAATATAGAAAGAAGTCAAAAACACACAAGAGCAGCAAAAAAAGAAGCAGAAAGCACAATAAAGAAGTCCGTCGTAACAGATCACTGCACAAGAGAAAACCATGTAATGGACTCGGACAACACAAGGATCATAAACACCGAAAAACAGAAATACAAAGGATGGATAAAAGAAGCTATCGAGAAGAAGACATGGATGTGGGACCATGAACAGAGACAATGGAGTTTACTCGTTGGATTGCACATGGGACTGCATCGTCGGAGAGGGGAGAGCGGGCAGCAGAGAGCGACGACGTCCTCTGCTGCCCGCGGATAAACGGAGAAGGAAGTGACGCCACCATCAGCGTCAGCCTGAAGAAGTTTGCAGCCGCAAATGAAACGTTGCAGGTAAATAAAACCCTCCTGTGTTTTCAAAAGAACTAAAAGATGGAGTTAGAATTTCAACACAGCAACAACACACCAAAGATGTTTTTTTGTGGTGTAAAACTTCTACTTTTCAACAAATCACTCAATGAAGTGACACGTCTGACATGATAAACCTTCTCTGCTGCTTTAGAAAACTCCACCAAGCAGAAAATCATCAGAGTGCTTGTCACAATAAACATGAGTTAGGCTGATGGGATCTTTGTGTCTGCAACAGTTCATCAGGACTGAGAATGTATATTTTGGAGAAATTTGATGGATGGATTCTTCTTCCTTGCACAAGAAAAAATATAATTTGAAGAGATGTTCTTCTGTGTGCATCAGTGTGTGAAACGTTTCTCAGCTACACTGTCTTAGTTCTAGCTGTTGAAATGTTGACACAAAATGCAGACGAGGGACAGTCAAGGCTAAAATTCTCACCATGAATGCATTTTCGTCACCTTCCATGTGTCATGCTTTTACATTAAAGTGACACTGTGTAGTTTTTACTGTTAATCTCCGGAAATATCGAAACTTTGAAAATGACTTAAATGATGCTCAGTTGTTGAAAGATATTGGCGGCTTTGCAACATATAACCATATAAATCTGGTCTAAAATACATGAGAGCAGGTCTAAGTCTGTGGGTGACGCCATATTAGACACCATGTTTCCTACTACAGGAGCCTGTGAAGACAAAATTAATTCACTGATTTGTAACAAGTGGTTACAAACTTTTCACCGTTCAAAAACGTTGTTTTATACATTTGCCTCTTCACTCATTGCCAATGATGAAAGGAAGTCTGATGTGCATAATTTAGCTGGAGGTTGCGCTGCCAGGGATTTTTGACCCCACACATTGGTAAGGTCTTACTCGAAGAAATACCACTTGTTTGCAATGATTTAGGCATGCACTGCCCCCTATCGCCAGGGAAAACACACATCGTCACTTTAATCAGCAAAGTTTGGTGTCTTTCACAACTATAAGTTGTTTCATGAAGGGATTTTCATTGAAAGCTTGGAACTGGCTTGTGACCATACAGAGTTCAGAGTAATTTTCTGGAATCACACGTTTTTTGCCCAGCAGTGATGCTGAGTTGCTGTGACATGATGACAAAAGCAAGCCGATGGGCCCTGAGTGTAAATAATGGAAACAGCATCTCTGGAAACGCAACTGGCTGAGGGAGGCCTGAGGGCAGCGGAGGTGTGAAGGTGGGAGGAGGAATCAGAATCAGGTGGAGAAGACGATGAACAGAATAACCTTTGTCCATTTACAACAGAGCCTCGGTGATGCTTCTGAGGATGACCTCCAACCAATTGACCTTGCTGAGCAGCAGCTGAATGTGTTTAGTTTAGGGGAGTACATTGCACAGCTAAACGAGTCAAATGCAATTAGAAGTGATTTTTTGAATTTTAATGCAAAAATAATTTTCAGTCATTCCTTCTTTATTTTGAAGGAATTTGATGCAAATGTTTTATTCATGTTACATCTCAAACAAGTAAAGAGTGATATGAAATGATTAGTAATGTTCAGGAAATAAAAACAAATGATAATCACAAAAAAAATGTAATGAACCATAAAGCATTGTTTCAAACTGAAGCAAGGTCATGTAAGTGTTCATTTTACATAACTTTAGAAAACAAACCCCAAAACATTTGCATTAAGCTTTTGTCACCAAGGTTCCAGACTGTAATTGTTTAGTGAAACTTTTGTTTTTGCTGTTCTAACAGTTAGAAATCACGAGCTCCTTAATACACCTGCTCAGCCCAGAAAGCAGAGAAAGCCTTTGTCTGGATTGTAGCACGTTAGGAATGTGATTAAGATACCGCAGATAAGAGCGGCAGTGGAGTTCTCTTGAAAAGCAAAAGGAACGCTTGTGCTGACTTTGCAGCAGAACTGCTGCGAGTTTTAAATAAGACACTGATAGGGAAAAATTGGTTTTGCTGTCGTTACTGCTTAAAATTATAACTGCCTTTTAAGTAAAAGCACCTGTTGCTGCATTAAATGCAAGTGTTATCCTTTGCCAGCTTTCCCGTCTCAACAGGGAGGATAACGACCTTCCTCAGACCGTGCTGTTCTGTGGTATTGGTTACACTCCCATGAGAAATAGAATGTTGACTGAATGCACCTGCTTTTGTATGAGGGAGATGTGACATTGTTTTTACTCCCTACATTAAACAGCTTTCCACCTGAATGTCTACGGAGCAGTTTAGGAATGTGTATGTGTGTGTGTGTTGTTTGTGTGTGCTTTGTTAATAAAAACCCTCAGAGGACGAATGTTCGCTGAGACTGTGTGAACCAAGCTTACGGGTCGGTATGATCGTTGCTTCACCTTTCTCCCGTTGCAAAGTGAACTGAACAATAATATTGCTCTAATCCTCTCTGTGTGATTGACTTCTCTTTAAGGTGACTTGGTATTATTAAAAATAACCCAACAGACACTTCAGATGGAGAACAAAATTAAATGTGCACCATCAACATAAAATCCAGCTTCAGATGTTTGCAAAAATAATTCTGATAAAAAAGGGTGAGGTGCTGTGGAAATGTAACTTTTCAGGTGCAATGAACAAAGGTATTCTTAGACTCTTATCTTCACCTGCAGCCTTCAAAATGAGAGATTGACACGTAAGCTTTCTTCGTGTTGATGATGGCGTCACAAATAATATAATCATTTCTTAGGAACTGAGGCTGTGTTGTGGATGACCCTCATCTACACCCACATTCACCTGACTGAGCTCTCCTCAAATACAGCACCAAGCAAGATTAGTTTAAAGAATGACCTAACCTTCACTATTTGTAACAGTCTCTTGGTGTCTCAACATCTCCTTTGACCTGAGAATCTTTTTAAAGAATGTCCTTCCTGTTCTTTGAACAAGACTAAAGTCTTTAGCTTCTTCACTGACGTCCTCTGATTGAAACAGAAAAATGACAAATGTGAGACACAGCTCAAGGATGGAGCGTCCGCATCAACAATGACCATTGTTGGTCACTTCACGTATCGGCAGCAAACCTGGTACCCCGACGATTGGAGCCCTTGTTCTATTGTTGCATCTACAACCTCCACCCACTAGATGTGGTGCTCGTGTTCCATTTTCAACCTTTAACTAAGTTAAAATGTGGATCCACTCCAGCTTCTTCCCACAGTCCAAAAACATGACTGTTAGGTTGATTGGTCCATCCAAATTGTCCTTAGGTGTGAGTGTGTGTGTGCATGATTGTTTGTCCTGTGTGTCTCTGTGTTGCCCTGCAATGGACTGGCTCTCTGTCCAGGGTGTACCCCGCCTGATTGCCCATTGACCGCTGGAGATAGGCACCAGCCCCACCCCATGACCCTACGTGGACAAGCGGGTTCAGAAAATGGATGGAAGGATGGAAAATGTGGATCCCCGCTTAATAAACTTACCATATTCACTATCCATTACAACAATACTAAATGGACTTGAACTTAATCAAATGAGTGCCCACTCGTTTATTACAAAAATGAATAATTGAAAAAAATGGGCACCTGTAACAGAAGGAACTACAAGCAGGAAACATTGCACCAATTTAAACTATTTAAATGTCTCTGTGTATTCGTGTCTTCCTCGTTGCTCACAGGCTGTGGAGCGCTTGGATGTAAACATCCGCCCCTTTAGTTTCCAGTCAGATGATAACAGCTTCAACAAACCTTGCTGCTGAATTTGAAAACACCCGTGCTGCACAGATGAAGAAAGTAATCTGATTACATGCTGCTGAAAAACAAATTCTGTTATTCATGTAGTTTACCAACTCAAATGTCCGCATCACTGCAGAAAACAGCTGGGAGGCCTGAAGTGTTTGGTCAGTAGAGCACGATAACGTCATGTGTCACACCCTGTCCCTCTGTGTGTGTGTGCGTGCGTGTGTGTGTGTGTGTGTGTGTGTGTGTGTGTGTGTGTGTGTGTGTGTGTGTGTGTGGCGGTATTAGCTAGAAGATAGCGATGTGTCAGAGGATGCTGAACTCCAAAGTGGGAACATCACTGATCTTGTAGATGTAACAGGCACAGGGGGGCAGACTAAACGGTCACAGAGAAGAAATAGATGCACTCCAAGAAGAAAAATACAGAACCACGCTTTTTGTTTTATTCAAAAGCGTTATCGTCTCATGGCAAAAAACTCGACCGACTCATCCGTCATTTAAGTCCTGATCCTACCTGTTATCTCATTTTCTATCATTTAAATC